CTGATAAGTTGCTGTCGGATAGCACTGGTTCATCCTGATAAGTTGCTGTCGGATAGCACTGGTTCATCCTGATAAGTTGCTGTCGGATAGCACTGGTTCATCCTGATAAGTTGCTGTCGGATAGCAATGATTCATTCTGATAAGTTGGTGTTGGATAACAATGATTCATCCTGATAAGTTGCTTTGTATTGAAATTGCCTAAACTGTGTAAATCTTAATATTAATTGAAAAGTGAAAGTACAGGTAATTTGCATATTTTTCATATTCACTGGTGACTAGAATTTGTAGATTTCTCTTGAAAATTGTGAATTATATTTTGATCCTTAATAGAAAATAGTGACATATAGTTTATTGCATGTCAATTTCAAACTTAGAAGGCACTTTGCTAAGAAAACAAGTTTGGATATCAACTGTCATTTTTATTGTCACTAGATTCCCAAAAAAAGTATGGATAGTCCTTGCTATTGAAGGTTGTGTCACTATGAAGTTGAACGCTTTTAGATTGATATGCTGCCCCACAGGAGAATGGTAATGGGGTGGACTTCCAAAACTAAACACACTAGTGATTACTTATTGCTCACATTTAAATGATGCCCCCAGTCTTGGAAGACTAGCTCTGAGTTATCACAGCTTCAATACTAACTGCTACCAAGCAGTGACTGCGATTTGTTTTTATGAAATCATGAAAAGGCACATTAGAGGTAATATAAATATACAAATGAAAGAAACTAAAATTTAGTTTGAAGACCTGCCATGTAAGATAGATGAAATAGTTGTTATTCTATAAGAAATAGTCATGTTTGATATGTTGTTGAGTAGTCAGGTAACTTAGTTCTACCTAACACTTTCCACTCAAAATTTTCACTAATATTAGTCTTTCTGCAAGTTACATTTGAAAATTTAAATTGTTTAATTTATAGTTGGGTTGAAAATAAGCATAAAACTGTAATCAAGTTATCTTAAGGACCTTTAATCATGTTTTAAATTTAAATTTTTTATCAAGTATCTTCTTGGCTTTCTGTACTTAAAAGATACCAGACCAGATTTTTGTCATTTCTCATAATTAACAAATATAATCAAAACAGTGTGGAGTTACCCGTGTTATGTAAATCATATATATTTTGCTCGATGTACTTGTCATCCAAAAAGCCTAATAACTGTTTCATCAATATGTACAATTTGTTTAATATATTTCTTCCAACAGTTTATAGTTTCCTTTAGTGATAATGCAATAAACATAATTGTTGCTTGTAACACAGTGGTGTAATTACCTTGTCTAATTATGTATTTTCTCAATGTCTGGATAAATTTACAAAAGTAAAAAGAACTTTTGATGTAATTCTTGCTTACACAATCCAGTTTTTTGTTGCTGTATAAGTGATGTAAAGTATTTCATGGGCCTGATATGACCAGGTGGTTAGGGTGCTCGACTAGCAGTGTGCAGGTCGCTGGTTCGATTCCCTGTCCCACCAATTGCATTCGCCTTTTCAGCCATGGAAGCATTATAATGTGGTGGTCAATCCCACTATTCATTGGTAAAAAGATTAGCCCAAGAGTTGGCAGTGGCAGGTGATCACTAGCTGCTTTCCTTCTAGTCTATTACTGCTAAATTAGGGATGGCTAGTGCAGATAGCTCTTGTGTAGCTTTAGGCAAAATTCAAGCCAAACCAGAATTTTATGACTAACATTACAAACCATTTTCTACTATATGTATTTACATTGGCTCATAAATAACTGATCAGTTTGTTCTTATACCTTGAAAAATGGTCATGTTTTTACTAGAAGAATCTAAAGTATATACAGAATGCATTATTTGTTAATTTATTAACAAGTATGAACATTTCCATCTAAGTTTCAACAAAGTGACAAATTCTTTATTACTTGTAATTTCCAACACCAGTTGTTTGTACATTTGAATAATGGAAGGAATAACTAAATATTAGTGGTAAAACTCGTGTATTATATATATATATATATACAACTTTCAGCTTTTATATCATAATAACCTATTTATAGATGTGATATTCTGTGTTTTTGATTTTCTGAGAGTGCATTTAAATGCAGGATCTTGAATGCCAGGTAACTCCTGACTGAGCTGAAAGGTAAGGAACAGTGTAACAATTCAAACTAGAACATGAGAACGTGGGAGATGTTGTCTTACCATTTATCATTGAAGATGTAACATTGTACCACTAAAATTACAAGCGTTTCCATGTTTATGTGTACTTAACCACATTAGTTTTCATCACAGGTATGTTTTAGATAAGTAACTTCAGTATACCTTGAGATCAGTACTCTCGCAAGGAAATATAGTTCTTAAGTTGATGCTTGAAATGAAATTGCAGTTTTGTTTTCGAAGAAGAAAATGCAGGATTTTGTAATCGTTATCCAATATGAGTGGATAAAGTAGACTAGCCACTTAGAAGTGATGATGTATTGGTAAATGTTCTTTTTGTTGACTAGCATCAAGGATAAAAGACAATCTTTCGTAATGGATAAGCATGCCCTTTTTGCTAACTTTTCCAAAGTACATGTGCTAATGATTAGTTCCATATGAAGATGATTGGTTTCAATTCATGGATTAGTGTTTGGCTCACTTATTCCTTGTAGTCTGAAAAGATTTAGAGTGCTTTGAACAGTAGTTAATAATAACTCCTTGAAGACATTATTCTGTTTGAAAATAGTGGAATTGTTACAAGTTTTTTAGCTCTCACATGTTTTATATATCTTATTTTTTCATGTCACTAGATAATTGTATAAATATGTTGCTGATAACAGTTCTGTTTTCATATTTCATGATCTTCATTATCATGAAAAATGTAACATTTTTTCATTGTATAGTCTGATTGCATAGTATGTCAACAATTTATAGTTTTACTGTGTAATGACATCTCTAGGATTTGTTTAGGTGGGGGAAGACACAATCTTGAATTGATGGACTGGGTGACATTCCATAGTACTTTCAATAGTTACTGAGGTGAATCTTAGTTGAAGTTTTAATACACAAAAAAAGTATCCATTAAAAAAGAAAAAGTTTATTTATTTTAGAGCAAAGTCACATTGGACTATCTGCTGTGGGGAATCATACCCAGTATTTGGACACTGTAACCTTGTAAAGTTACTGCTGTCCTATCAGGGGATAAATAGAAAACAAATAAGGCTATGTTATATAAAAGATGGGAATTTTGCCGGTTTTGAATATTTTTTTGTTTACATATGATATGTTCTTATTCTCTCACAAATGCTGAGAAACAAAACGTTACCTATAAAAATGTCACATTTCATTTACTGTTACAATAAGTGCTCACATTCAGTTATGGAAACTGTTATTGTTTGTGAGCCACTGAACCTTGTGTTTTTTGCATCTTAGGAAATCTTACTCTTTTACCTGCACAATAAAAACAATACCATACTGGTAGAGATGGTTATTCTGACCTTCACATGAAATCCAGAGAGGATACACCGTATTTGAAACATCTTGGGACTGAATCTGTGGACAGAGAAGATTAATATTTACATTAGTAACCCTCATGTCATACAGTCCATCTTCAGATAGATGTAGGATGACCAGATTTCCAAACCAAAAACTCAGATAGCCTCATATTTCAAAATATTTTGAAAATTATGAAAATTTTTGAAATAATTTAACTTTTGATAATTTGATGTATTTGTAAGGTCCAAAATGCACACACTGTTACAATCAGAGTTCAACAACAAAACAGTTTATTTACTATAAAAACACTTAGAAATATATTCAACACTGTTAATAAACAAATGTCTAGCCAGGACTTCTCACTA